CTCATCCACTCCAGGGCGATGCCACCGTGTCGCTGTCGTGGGTGTCCGTCCTGCATCCATCAGTGTGGCAATGAGAGCACCTGAAGGTCCACGTACCGCTCGCCATCGCTTCGAACCCAACCTGAGTAACCTTGATTTGATGGCATGCCACGCCTTAGCAACTCGACGATGAATGTGTGGGAACCTCTGCCACATACCAATCCGTTCACGTACCACTCCCAAGCGAATATCCACGGCAGGGTCGCGAAGTCCCAACTCCGTGCCCAGCGTGGTCGTGAGACAGTGCCCTCCTGCACTACCTCCTGCCACTTTGCCAGCCTGGCGACGAAGCTGTGTGATCTCCTGCTTGGACATTCCAAAGGTCTGCTGCCCGTAGATCGCTTGTGGCAGCGCCCCCGCGTTGTAGAGGCCTTTGGACTCCTTCTTCAGCGCAGCGATTATCCTAAGCTTGACAACCCTGGCGAACCTCTTACGCGCCTTGTCTTGTCTGTGCTTACTCTTCGTCGTAACCCTTTTCTTTCCGCCAGCAGTGTCCAGCCCCAGGTCCGTTGCCACCCCCGTAGCTTTAGCTGGTATACCTCGACGTAGTAATCGCTGCGCTGCCTTCTTCGCTTGTTCCAGGTCGGAGCCGAGCACTGTCGTCTTCTCCGATATTGTCATTCTCTGTCTAACCAGTCCCATGCAAATATCCGTAGAGACCTCCACCAGCTGCTCGCTCACCGTGTTGACGCTTCCCTCGCATCTGACCACCGTATCGTCAACACACGTCCATAATCCTGCTGATGGGTTCCTCCGATGAGCCAATTCTAGCACTGGGTGAAGAAACAAGTTTGCCAATGCCACCCCTCGAGCTGAGCCAGCCACCAGCGATCTGGTAGGCCATATGGCCTCGCTTATGGCGGACCGCTCCTGCAAATACCGTGGCCCTGGGAACATTACCATTTCCAGCCCCACAGCGATTGTTGGGAATCCTGACGCGCAAGCTATCTGCATCAAGATCACCAAGGAGACCGTGTCATAGAACTTCTCGATCTCTAACAAACGCGTCAAGGCCGATGCCCCTATCTCCATCCCCGTCTCGTCCAAAATGGCTCGCAGCAGCCCTGCTCTGAGTGCCGAGCTGCCCGTGATCGCTGCATCCCAATGGTCAGATAATCCCGCACTCCACATTGAGCACACACCGCCACGAGCTCTGGACCACAACTGGACTGGGAGGGGTAGCATGCCCAGCACACGATCTCCCGCTGCAGGCCCTGGTTTCGCCACCATTGCACACTTGGTCGCCGATAACTGCCGTGGCCACGCCATCGTGCTTTCACTTCGTTGCAGTATGTATGACAGCTCTTCTTCGCCGTCGCGGGGAGTCTGCCAATGTCCGTGGGGCCCAGTTGATCCAACCCTTTTGCATTTGAAGCAGCAGTAACACGCAGAGCACCGTTCAGCATCTCCATGTCGATGGGGTCAAGGTCCTCCTGTATCGCTCTGCGCCGCGTGTGCTCCAGCTGTTCAATAATGTCCGTGCGCGTATCCACGGGATCCGTCCATATGGTCTCCCATTTACTGGCCTTCGAGCGCATGATGATGGTTGGGTCAGCCGTGGCAAAATCTGGTCTTATCGCCATCTCGTATCTGGGTGCCTCCTTCGGCTTGACGTGCCTGTGCAATATACCCGCCTTGGTCTGCCAGGCCTTCTTCGCCCAAGTCGCGAAGCTTTTCCTCGCCGTCGTCATCGATCTGGCCGATGCCTTGTCCAGGTACAGCTCCGTCTGGTCAAGCAGATTTGCCAGCTGCCCCAAGTCTAATCCTGGAATGTCCTCTGCCATTTGGAAGTACATTTTGCTGCTGGTCTCTGTGCCTTGCTTGCTAAAGGCATCCTTGTGCGAGATGCCTCTGAGAACTCCGATCTGCCTGAGGATGCGCTTGACACACATGCTCTGCTGCTTGACATCCGTGCCATTCACCACCAGGGACTGATATCGAACCAAATCAGCTGCCAATATGCTCAATTCCTCTGCTGGTCCGTATCTCATGTGTGTACGTCCTGGTGTGGGTTTCGCACGTATCCATCGTATGCCAAAACTTGACGCGTGCCCCTTACACCGCTGCGCCTCCTGAACGTCGATTTGCTCATTCAAGATGTGGGCCTCCTCTACCCTCGCGACCCACGTGCCGTACTGCTCCGTCAGCTGGTACTCGTCCATCTGGTGCTTCGCGCTCCTGGTGATCATCTTGTCACCTATGATGCGCATCTCCTCCGTCAGTTCCAGCTTGTGATCCCCGAAGCTAACCTGCTCCCAGATCTCGCTCGTGATGTTGTAGGGCTTCGGCGGCACCGAGTCAATCAGGGTGTCAGCCGCCGACTCCTCCACCGTCATGGCCTCCGCGTAGGCCTCCTGCAGGTGCTCCTCCAATGCGTGCTGCACCCTGTGGCGCGCCGCCTGCTTCTTCTTGCTCGTCTTCGAGTCTGGGTCCGCCAACTTCTGAGGACGACCTTGGTGCGGGAGCGCCTTCGGGATGTCAACCTGCCGATGCCACCACTCCTGCTTCGTGCCCTCTATCACCAACTGCAATCCGCAGTGCGTGCGCCAAGGTACTCGGCCCTCAGCCAATAGCTTGAGCTTGGGCGCGAAATCCAGCCTCGCAATGCCGTAATCGATGAGGCTGCCCTTACCCTTGTCGCACGTGATGCTAATATCTGGGCGGATGACAACTCCGCCCATCCTGCCTGGTAGCTCAGCTTTCTCCATTTGCTCGAGCGGGATATTCCAATCAGCCAAGATCACCCAAGGATCCGTGAGAGACCTGACGAAACCTGACAGGGATCGAATTCTGTGGTAATTCGACCCTGTGAAACCTTCACCTGGGACCAGGTACGCCGCGACCAGGATGATGTTGCCCGATCGCGTGTGGTCATTGAGCGCTGTAAATCCCCTAAACGGGTCAACGTCACCGTTGTCCACCATCCGCTTCCGCAGGACATCGTAGCCCGTGCAGGCCAGGTGGGTCTTGGCCAAGATGAACTCGCCGCCAGTGGTTCCTGTCTCCGATCGCTTGGTAGGCGCCGCTGCTGTGCCCGATAACTTCAGCCGTCGCGGGATACCTCCTCCTCACATGCTCCAATTTGTTACAGTCTACATGCGTCTCGCACATCATGATGATATCCTTCTGCTTACCTTCTACCGAGATGAACCTGTGGGCCTTGGGCCCCCACATCGTGATGTTGGAGAAGAAGATGCTAGAGGCCATCCCCACCAGGCTGCTCATCACCGTCAGAGCCGAGCACCACTTCTTTGTACGTCGAAGCTGCCTTGCCCTTGGCCGCCTGGACCTTCTGCTCGGTCTGCTGCTTGATTTTGTCGATGATCTCTTGCCGTTCGCGACCCTGTTCTGATGCGGGGCCAGGCGGGGCCTGACCACTGGTGCCGCCTGCAGGCGCCGCCGCGGGCCCTGGGCCGCCACTCGCGGCCTCAGCCGCCTGCGTCTCTTGCACCCCCTTCTGGGTCCCGTCCGTGCCGTCAACCTTCTTGCGCTTCTTCTGGGCCTGCCGCCGTAGGCTGGCCGCCTCCTGCTTGAGTTCGCTGAACTGGCGGCACTGACCCGCCGCAGCCTGGAGCAACTGGTCCAGCGCCTCCATGTCTGCTTTGACCTTCTTGAGCTTGGTCCTATCCTCCTCCTCGTAGTCGTCCAGGTCGTCGAACAGGTCGCCGACCGCAGGTGCCTGCCATTCTGCTTGGGGCGGGTCTGGGGGCTGGCACGCGGTCTCCGCCTGGTACGCCGCCAACGCCCTCTTGTGCTCCAGCACTGCGTCTGTCGCATCCTCGATCGCCTTTTCGTTCTTGGCGCGCAGCTGCGAGATCTTCTCCTCCGCCTCCTGCAGGGTGGAGGTAGTACTCTCCACCTCCAACTGGTACCTGTTGAGCTTATTGATCGCCTGCCGCAGTTCCAGCTCCTTAGAGGCCTCCTTCTTGGGGGCCTGTGCAGCCGCTTGCACCTGCGACTGCACCGCTTTGACTGGTCCCAGGTCGATTTGAGGGCCATCTGCGCCGTGAGTGTCTCGACTCGCCCCAGCATGCTGCAGACCTCTGCCAGCGAGCCATGTACTGCCGTTGCCTTACGCCAGGGAGGCCCCTTGCCGCCCTTGCTCTTGCCGACCGCATCGACACCCGGTTCACGTTGCGCGGGTGGCGACCAACCTGCGAGTACAGTCTGGCACTTGTAGCACCAGCCGCCCGATTTCTCGAGCTTCCAGTCGTAGACCCAACCACCGCAGGTCTTGCAACACGTGTAGGTTTGGCGCCCACGCCCCATTGCGCGCGCAGGCACACCGCTGGAGTTGCCAAAATCGTGTCCGAGGGAGCAGACTCTTGGCCCCAGCAGCGCGCAGCTCGACTGGGGTTGCCTGAAACGGGAACGAGCCTCGGACTAGAGGTGTCCACTTCTTGCCCGTGGGACAACAACATCTTGAGCCAAAATGGCTACGGAGAGGGGGAGGAGGATGAGGGGGAAAAAGGAGGAGGAGGAGGAGGAACAGGATAAAGACACCTCCTCATCTCTTCCACCTTCTCCAGTCTTCTCTTCCTCATATCATTCCGCCCTCTGGATCTCCTTCCCCGTCTGCCCCCTCCCAGGGGCTGGTCCGCGACGTGCGATTCTGGCGCGGTGAGTGGCCTTCCGCCCCTCGGAGGGCTATCAGTGCCGTCCGCCCGCGAGCCGGTGGTCTTGTCGCTTATCCCTGCCCTAGCCGTCCTTCTCAGCGAACTGGTCAATAGCTCCCTCCCTTCCTGACGACGACGAGACGACGACGACGACGACGACGACGACGACGACGGCGCCGGCGCCGGCCCCCTCCCCCCCTCCTCCTCCTCCTCCTCCTCCTCTTCCTCCTCCTCCTCCTGCTCCTCCTCCTCCTCTTCCTCCTCCTCCTCCTCCTCCTCCTCCTCCTCCCTCCCGGGCGGCTGCGAAGAACGGCGGCGACCCCCCCCCATCCAAAGCCGGTGCAGGAGCGCCGCGAGAAGATCCGGGCTGGTCGGGGCGGCTGCCGCGGCGGCCCCGGGGCCGCGGTTGCCTCCGGCGGCGGCCACGCCGCGGGCCTTTCGGCCGACGCCGCCCTGGCCGCCGCGGTGTCCGACGGCCTCGAGGCAGACGACGCTGACGACGCTGACGACCACGACGACGCCGACGACGGCGACGTCGTCGGGGGCGGCGACGACGCTGGCGACGGTGGTGGCGGCGACGACGCCGAACGCGGCGGCGGCGGCGGCGGTGCTGCCAGAAGTGTCCCTGGCCCACGGTGTCCCCAGGTTTTCCGAGGGGACGCCCTCGGCCTGCAGGGCAGCCCTAAAGAGGCCCAGCGGGGAGGGGCTTCAGAATTGGGCGAGGACACCTCTAGACGTAAGTCGGGCGTGTCCCTCTACAGGGGGAATATTCAAAAAATGTCAAAAAATATTACAGGGACGATTTTGGGACTAATTTTCAGCATTTTGGGAGTATTTTTGGAGTATTTCTTCAGGCGGAGGAAGAGGAGGAGGAGGAGGAGGAGGCGCAGGAGGAGGAGGAGAGGGAGGGAAGGAGGGAGGGAGGGAGGGAGGGAGCGGGAGAAGGAGGAGGACCAGTGTAAGCCCAAGACTCATCAACGATGTTGTAATCAACCCTCCCTCAAATAAGCATATCAAGGGTTATGGGGGCATCGAAGACTACCGGGCCACGGTTCCCTCCTTTGGGATGGCGTCACTCCTTGGGGGAGGGAGGAGGAGGAGGAGGAAGAGGAGGAGGAGGAGGAGGAGGAGGAGGAGGAGGAGAGGAGGAGGAGAAGAGGAGACGGAGGAGGAGGAGGAGGAGGAGGAGGAGGAGGAGGAGGAGGAGGAGAGAGGAGGAGGAGGAGGAGGAGGGAGGGCGGAGGGAGGAGCAGGAGGAGGAGGAGGAGGAGGAGGAGGAGGAGGAGGAGGAGGAGAAAGACGGCGACGACGCTGCGAGCCCACGCCACACCCGGAGTGGCCCCCAGGACGGCGCGGCGGCCCTCTCCCTGGCCCAGTACGGCGGCGGCAGGGTGCTGGCTGGTCGGGTGGCCACTGGCGACGCCCGTGCCGAGGACGCCGGGTGCGTGGACCGCCGGGCCGCGTCTGGCCTGACGCAGGCCGGGGGCCCATCGGCACGTCCGTGGCCGGACAGCACGGGAAGAGGAGGAGGAGGAGGAGGAGAAGGGGGAGGAGGAGGAGGAGGAGGAGGAGGAGAGGAGGAGAGGAGGAGGAGGAGGAGGAGGCGGGGGAGGAGGGAGGAGGGAGAGGAGGAGGAGGAGGAGGAGGAGGAGGAGGGAGGAGGAGGAGGGAGGAGGAGGAGAGGAGGAGGAGGAGAGGAGGAGGAGGAGGAGGAGGAGGAGGAGGAGGAGGAGGAGGAGGAGGAGGAGGAGGAGGAGGGAGGAGGAGGAGAGGAGGAGGAGGAGGGAGGAGGAGGAGAGAGGAGGAAGAGGAGGAAGAGGAGAAGGAGGGGGAGGGGGAGGAGGAGGAGGAGGAGGAGGAGGAGAGGAGGAGGAGGGAGGAGGAGAGGAGAGGAGGAGAGAGGAGGAGGAGGAGGAGGAGGAGGAGGAGGAGGAGGAGGGAGGGAGGAGGAGGAGGAGGAGGAGGGGAGGAGGAGGAGGAGGAGGGAGGAGGAGGAGGAGGAGGAGGAGGAGGAGGAGGAGGAGAGGAGGAGGAGGAGGAGGAGGAGGAGGAGGAGGAGGAGGAGGAGGGGGAGGGGGAGGAGGAGGAGGAGGAGGAGGAGGGGGACTCTGAATATCCAGAACATCGACATGTGAGAGATACAGGGTTGTAGTAGCGATGTGAAATGATGATGGAGAGTAGTAGAGCAAGGGATGTGTGCTGACAACATCCTGGCTCAAGGACTGAAAAGTCGACTTTGGTAGCGCGACATATGCGATCCAACTTCAAGGTAAATCTTCCTCTTCCATACCCTGCCCGGCCAGCCATAGCGTACCTTGGTCTTGTCCCGCTCCTTGGGGCCTGGCTTTGGAGTCTTGCTAGCTGGAGCGACGGCGTAACTGAGTTCGTGGAGGCAGACGGCTGGGCCGCTACGATCTACTCTCATTCCGACGTCTACTACAGCCAGAATACAGGTCACAGCGCGCCAGTTTTGTATCCAGTCGACTACGACCTCTTCATCATGGACGGAGCCTCTGCAAACGTCTGTGGCCATGACAATTCGAGATTGCCCCTGGATTCTTTCACGAGAAGCACTCCACCCGGCTGGGTGACAGGAATCAGACGATACCCGATCAGAAGATATGCTCAGCTCTTGAAGCTTTGGTGGCTCCAGACAGATCTGCATGAAGAGCAATGGGGCCCAGCAGTATGTGGACGACTACGAGGACAGGTCTTCCAATTCGCGATGAGTTTACGAGCACAACGATGGAGTCTGGCTGCTGGACAGCAGATGATGATCGAAGCTCCAGAGCTCTTCGCAGAACCATCCAATGAAGCACAGCAGATTGGCATGAATATGATTCCCGAGCAGATCAGTGGCGCTAAGTTCTTAATACAACGGGTCCTCGAAGAGTGCACTACAGACAGGCAGGATCTTCAATGTGAAGTTCTTACAGCTTTCTTCGAGCTCTTTCGAGGCAACAGCAAGTTCGGAGATTTCTTGGCATTATATGATTTGGCGCTCTCAGATGCTGAAGCAAATTGTGGATTACAGATGAACGACATTGGCAAGAAATACTTTCTTCTCCGAGGCGTTCAGCTCTCTCAGCGACAACACTTCGACCTGAGACTCCGAGTTGACGGAGACCTTTCCAGATACAATGATATTCGGCGCCTCTGTACACGAATGTTTGGAGATCATGACGCAGCAAGGTCTTCTACGTCACACGACATGGCAGGAGTCTATCACGGCAGCTCTTGGCAGGACACATGGTATTGCGATTCTTGCGATGAATCTGAATGGCAGTGGAACGGAGATGATGCTTGGCAGGAGGAAACCTACTGGGGAGACCAGGACTGGCAAGAAGGAGAACATGCATCGGATCAACCACATACACCACATCCTTCTTCGGAGACAGGCGAGTTCTGGGGCAAGGGCAATCACCAGCGTAAGGGCGGCTGCACCAAGTGCGGGTCCAAGTGGCACTCAAGTTCGGATTGCCCATTGCCTGGAGGTTCTCCTACGAGTCATGATCATCAGGGCTCTTCAGGTCAAGGTAAAGGCAGCAGTAAAGCCAAAGGTAAAGGCAAGTACATGACGAACTACGGCAACAGTGGCAGCAGAAAAGGAAGCTATCGGAAAGGCAAAAGCAAATGGAAATCGTCAAGCTCAAAAGGTTACCGCAAAGGCAAGAACAACTCGAAAGGCTTCCGCAGTGGACGAAGCAAAGGCAAAGGCTATCGCTATCGTAGTGGTGGCACGTTTCTTCTCGAAGATGGTCCAGCGGATGTGGGCCATGAATGTCACTACGACGAGGACGATGGCGACATCACTTCTTGGTATGAAGGCGATGGAGTTTATGGTATGTGCCAGCAGTCTATTGGAGACACCTGGTATGAGTACAGCGACGGCTCACCAGCTCAGCACCCTTTTACGAATGGGGCCTGGGCAGCATTCGAGACACCCGATGGCTGGAAACCATCGGCACAAGCAGTGGAGAGACAGCTACACCACAGAACACACCCCAGCAGTCTGGGCAAGGTCTGGCGCCTCCTGACTATCTGTCACCTGCAAGGAGTCCAGCACCAGTGACAGCAGCAGCCTCATCCTCAACACCTGGATCAGCGAGCACAGTATCCCGACTACTTCCAGAATTCAACTTCGACAGCCTGCCGGCACGCCGCCAGCGTATGCAGGATCTTGGTATTGATGACCCGGACGACCTGGAGGCCCCGGATTCCAGACCGTCAACGGCAGCATCAACACGTACGACACGGGCTGGAAGTGCTTTGGCACGTACGGCCTTATTCACAGCGACTTTGTTTTCGGTCTTTGCATCCCACGAGCAGGTGATGATACCCGATAGCCGTATGATGCCACATCATTGGCAGACCAAGCCGCGAGTCACGGACGCGATGACCAGCTTAAACTTCCACCTGGTCCGTGGACGACCAGTCCATGGCATGCTCGTCGACACGGGCGCGGCCAAGGCTATCATGGGCACGGGCGCCATGAAGGAATACATCACCGACATTCTGTCTAAGTATGGCAAAGTGATCGAGGCCAAGCCTTCGGATAGCCGTTTCACTGGAATCGGTGGCCGCCAGGAGAAAAGCAAAGGTCTGGCTGAGACACCTCTTGGCATTCCACTTCCTGGCATTGCTGAGGTCACGATTGATTTGGACTTGCTTGGTGATCTGGGCTCGAAGTGCCCAGGACTTCTTCCACTCAGCGTTTTGCTTCGACTCCAGTCATCAATCCTGTGTGGAGTATTGCAAGGAGGCGACGGAACCATGATTATCAAAGTTGTGGGCTCTGGATGCCCTCATGCGACAGCAATCCCTCAGACTCTCTTCATCAGGCTGTATCTGACAGACTCGTGTCATTACTTGCTTCCGACAGGCGACTTCAAGCAGGCATCGTGGTCAGATCAGAAGAAGCTGAGGAAAACCGTAGTGCAGTATTTCAACGAGGTCATGCGCACTTCGACCAACAGCCATCACAAGAAGCGCAAAGGCTCTGTTGGCATGGACGCTGGCTCCCTGACGTTGGCCGTGCGAACGTCAGGCATAGAGGGTGAAAGTGGTCCTGAGAACACTTCAGACATCGACGAGGAGATCACAACTACAGGATTGCACAAAATCAACATCGCACGGCAACTGGCACCAGTACCAGTTCATGAGCCTCCGGTCATGCCAACAACGACAACATCATCAGCACAGATGGCAGCTTTAGCACTACCGACATCACCGACGAGAGCAATACCGACAACAGCAGAAAGCAACATATCATCTCCGACGCACAAAGTCATGCAAGCAGTACCAGTACCTTTCCAAGGTCAGCACTCTATCTGGAATGATATACCTCAGAAGAACTTCTACAAAGCATGGATGTAGTTTCCTGGCCAGATATACTCTGGTGGCATCTGGCCTCAACAATGGAACTCAAAGCGGAAGACAGATGCTGAGAAGTACTACGCTTGCATGCCAGAAGTTTTTTATAATGGCAGTTCTCTTCCAGTGGTAACACCACTGAATGCACTTCAATGGCTCTACCATGTCATGCCAGTTATGGAGGTCAACGAGCTAGGTCACAAATTGGACATCCAGGAGTTTTGCTCAGGGTCTTCGAGGCTTTCACTGGCAGCCCTTCATCTGCAACTCAATGCAGGCTTTCCAGTTGACCATCGGTATGGCTGGGGCACGGGCCTACGAGATCATCAACATATCCTGGATGAGGTATATGACAAGCTGGGGATCTCAGTACAGTTCTTTTTCTCCAAGGTGCTCTCCCTGGTCAAAGGCCAACACCGCGTCTATGGCAGAAACAAAAGCACGAGCACGACAAGAAGAACGAGCAGGCCATCAGTGGACGACATGCCGCTGTAAACAAGTTCTTGATTCCAAGCAGAAGACAAAGGCCTACATTCTGGAGACACCTCATGGTCACAGTTGCTTACGGAAAGCCCGTTCTCATGCATTCATAGCGACAAGCGGACAACCTCGGCAGTACTTGATCAGTGTCAACATGGAGCCAAAGATATGGACAGCCAAGGTCTGCCCAACAAGAAGACGACCATCCTGGACTACGCGAACATAGAGATCAGCCAGCCCACCCTACTACGATGTACTGGCGAAAACAAGTGCCCTCTTCATGGAGAATTATCGGGGAATGTACCAGGCACCAGCACCTGGAGGACTTCTATGGCAGCAGTATATCCGTGGAATTTTTGCACAGCAATTGGCGCAGACGTATGGCAGTTTACTCATGGCAAGGAAGATGGTCTATCGTTGATGGTTTTCTGGTCTTGTGATCGGTGCAAACATGGAGCTCGCTATCCTGGAGCTGATATGAGAGTTACGCCGGTCCACACTCGGACAGAGGGCTGCAGGTTCAAAGATACCGAAGCACCAAAAGGAGCAATTGTTGGACGGCCTCCAATACCAGGACCGGCTCAAGCTCCAGTACCAGCACCTCTCCCTCCAGACGCACCTGCTC